GATATAGGGGCTTTAATCATTACCTATACTATTTTGGGCGTTCCTTATTATAATAACAGCATGATATACCCCCCCCCCCCCAAAGCCCTATTCTGATGATTAAGGCCCCTAGATTAGAGCCCCAAAGCTTGAAGGAGCCGGAAGGCCATGCCCCCGACTTTATGGAATCCCACCCCCCAAAGATTCACACCCCCAAGCAAGAAGACTTCAAACCCCCAAAGGGTTTAGGGTTTAGGGTTTAGGGGTTTAGGGTTTAGGGTTAGCAAGAGTACCCCAACCCTTTGGGGCCTAAGCCCCAAACCCTAAACCCTAAACCCTAAACCCTAAACCCTAAACCCCAAACCCTAAACCCTAAACCCCAAACCGGTCAACAGTTTAGGGTTTCGACCCCATCTGATTTCCCGCAAGCTGCTGTGAAGGTCGTGGACGCCCCCGAGGCCGGTTGCTAGGGGGTGGAGGTGTAATGGTTTAGGGTTTAGGGTTCAGGGTTTAGGGGTTTAGGGTTTAGGGTTTAGGGTTTAGGGTTCAGGGTTTAGGGTTTAGGGTTTTACCCTAAGCCCTAAACGCTAAACCCCTAAACCCTAAACCCCTAAACCCTAAACCCTAAACCCTAAACCCTAAACCCTAAACCCTAAACCGAAGCTGATGAAGGAACCTTGGCCATTCATTAGGGTTCCGTATAGGAATCCTTGTATTTCGGGGTTAGAGGGCCAGGGCTTCTTACGGTTTAGGGTTTAGGGTTTAGGGTCTTAATCAGGTTCCTAGGTTGTCGGAATCTCCACACCTCTGAACCTTGAAGCCCTCAGCCCTACACCCTAAACACTAAATCCTTAAACCCTTAGGCGCCAAACCCTGAAGCCTAAACCCTAAACCCCAGATGCTTGAGGCTTCAGGTCGACGAAAAATCCTTACGCCGTCAGGCCCTAACCTTAAGCCGGAACCCCAAAGCCAGCGGACAGAAAGCTGGGCAGATTGTGAAGGCTCCCCTTCATCAGCCCATCCTGTGGAACCTGGAAGGCCTTCAGAATTTAGGGTTTAGGGTTTAGGGTTTAGGGTTTAGGGTATTCCATCTGGGCCCCTGACCGAATCCGGGCTTAGGGCCCAGTGACTCTAGAAGTTTAGGGTTTAACGTGGTTTGGGGTTTCGGGTTTAGGGTTTAGGGTTTTAGGGTTTAGGGTTTAGGGTTTGGCACAAGCCTAGTAGAACCCCCTTGTATAGAACCCGAGTAGAAGCTAAGACGACCGATGCTCAGGCTCAAGTGCCTGAGGGTTGGAGTGACCCAGCTGCACGGATTCAGGTAGGAGTTCGAATGACTTGGCGCTAAGGTCAGGGTTTAGGGTTTAGGGTTCGAGATCTAGGGCATCTAGGGTTCAGCATGATTACACAGCAAGGTCACGGTTTAGTGTTTAAGATTTAGGGTTTTAGGGTCCAGTGGTCCAGGGTCACGGGTTAAGCTTCGTTGTAAGCAGGGTTACGATATGGATAGTTTGCAAAATGAGGGTCACTCTCAGGGGGTCCTTTATATAAGGGTGCCGTACTATATTGGGGACCTACAAAGGGACCCTAAGTTAGACAACTACCCATATGTGCAGCCGTCGCATGAGGAGGCCTCAGTTTCGAGACCTTGGGGTCCTTGTGGGCTTTGCAGTGCCGGCATCTTCTTCTTTTGGAGGTCCTTCAGCGACAGTGGGGGATGTTGATGTAGAAGCTCGACGGTTTAGGGTTTAGGGTTTTGGGTTTAGGGTTTAGGGTTTAGGGTTTAGGGTTTCGTAAGTAGCCTGATCAACCCTGAATCCTAACCAACAAGTAGTCCTCCTGAATACGAGGAACGCCCCTCAAAAAAGCGATACGCCTTGGACTTTTCTGCACAAATTCTGAGGTGCTGTGGACACTTCAGAAAAGACTACTTGGTAACCTATTTGGAGTCCTTATGTCAAGGATCCTCCTTACAGGCCTTTTTGAGGGATCCTTGACGGGTCGCTATATGAAAGATCTTTAGGGCTTCATTTTTTGAGACTCTCATGTCGCGTGCATTGGTACCCTAAACCCTAAACCCTAAACCGCTACACGCCTACACCCTCAACCCTGGACCTTAAGCCGTAAACCCTAAGCCCTAAACTCGAAGTCCTAAGCTCTAAGTCCTATACCCCAAGGCCACTAAAGCTTATAGTAGAAGCCGAATCGTTGGAAACCCAATAGCCTCAATCCCTAAGAGAAATGTTTAGGGAATCCCAGCACCAATTCTACTTTTGGCCCACACCCCTAAGCCTCAAGCCGTTAGTCCCTGATCCTGTAAAAGCCTTCAACGAATCCTCATAGCGACCTCAAGAAACCCGTGAGAAACATTACAGCAGCATGAGCACGAACCCCCAAGTTCTAAAAATCTAAACCCCAAATTGTTCATTTCGGAAGCCCCACTTTGGCCTGCCTCCCTTTGAGGTGCAGTGCCGTCCGGCGCTGCAGGGTGGCTGAGTGCCCGGTTGGCCCAGCCTTTCTCCTTCGGGCGGTTGTGATTGCAAGTTATATTGAACTAGGGTTGAAGTTAGTGCTTTGGCGACTCTAAATAGGGTTCCTTAAGAATTTGGTCTCTGCGTGTGCGTGTTCCGCGTCTTCAAATGGGGAGACTAGTATTAACGAAGCCCCTACTACACAAAATCGGGGCTTATACGTATAGTAGATTTACCCCAAAGCCCTATGCAAATGAATCAGGCCCCTAATTCTATTATAAAATAGGGGCTCATAAGTTCTAAGTATATCAGATTCTACCCCAAAGCCCTACGCAAATGAATGAGGCCCCCCCTAAACCCTAAACCCTAAACCCTAAACCCTAAACCCTAAACCCTAAACCCTAAACCCTAAACCCTATATTAAGGGGTTGGTGGCGGCTCAGGGTTCATCTTTGGGGCTCTTGGGGTAAAGCTTTCCCTGCGTCTGCTTGGATCTCAGGGTTTTGAGTTTAGGGTTTAGGGTTTGGGGTTTAGGGGGTTTGGGGTTTAGGGGGTTCGGGGTTTAGGGTTTAGGGTTTGGGGTTTAGGGGGTTTGGAGTTTAGGGGGTTTGGGGTTTAGGGTTTAGGGTTTAGGGGGTTTAGGGGGTTTGGGGTTTCGGGTTTGGTCAGCGTTGAGGGGGGCAGGGGTCGGGGCAGAGGCCGTGCATCAGGATGGAGGCTGGCGCGCGGACGGCGGCTACCAGAGCCAGCGCGACGGCGGAGAAAATTCGAAACGATCAAGATTCTTACCGCTGCGCACCCGGCACTCCCCCCGCACTGGACGGCCTCCACAATCACCCTTGGAAAATGCTCTTTCAGAAATGCACCCTCAACTCTTACAATGTTGGAGCAAGGTGCTGAAAGGCTCACTTATGAGTTATCGGAAGAGTTGGTCCAGTCTTCAAGGCTTAGATTTCGTTGATAGGGTGCTTATTGAGGGCTTTAGGATGCAAGAGAGCCTGTGTTTCTTTACTTTGTGGGCTGGGGGGGCTCTAGGATCCAAGAAATTAGGAGGTGTAGGAGGCCCAGGAGTGCAGAGGGTGTCGGGTGTAAGACATTCAGATTACAGGGTTTTCGGTTTCTAAACCCTCAACCCTAAACCCTAAACCGTAAATCCTAAACCCTCAACCCTAAACCGTCAATCCTAAACCCTAAACCCTCAACCCTAAACCGCAAATCCTAAACCCTAAACCCAAGAACCGGGAGGGTTTCAGGGGTTGTCAGCTTCAGAGGTGAGGATGGAGAGGGCTACAGAGTCTGCGGTTACCCTGAGGACGCCTCTATACTCAGCCGTGCGGTTTAGGGTTTAGGAGAGTTTGGGGTTTAGGGTTTAGGGTTTGGGGTTTAGGGTTTAGGGTTTAGGATTTAGGGTCTAGGGTGTAGGGTTTAGGAGAGTTTAGGGTTTATAGGGTTTAGGATGAAGGGCTTAGGGTTTAGGGTTTAGGGTTTATAGGGTTCAGGGTTTATAGGGTTTAGGGTTTATAGGTTTTAGGATTAAGGGCTTAAGGTCAAAGTCCCATGCGAGCAGCCCCTAAAAACTCGAGGACCCCACTTAAAGGCGCAGGGGACGGTTGCACGTAGAGTTACAAGCACCCTAAACCCTAAACCCTAAACCCTAAACCCTAAACCCTAAACCCTAAACCCTAAACCCTAAACCCTAAACCCTAAATGGAGTTGCCCCAACTATAGCCATAACCCTACTCATAGCCGACTTGCTAAGACCCCTGGGCCTCCAAGTACAACCCCGCACTCCAAAGATATGAAACCTAGCCCTCCACCTACCGCCACAAAAGCTACCACTCTATGCCCTCCTCTAAACCTTAAAGCCTAAACCCTAAACCGACGAATGATTAAGGCCCCTAGCTTGCCCTCAGCCCTCAACCCTGAAGCTTAAACTCTAACCACAAAAACCCAGAACACTAAACCTTGGACCCCAAACCCTAAACCTTGGACCCTCAACCCTGAACCCTGGACCCCAAACCCTAAACCTTAAGCCTCTCTACCTATAGTAAGTTGAACCCAAAATCTGAACCCTAGACCCTAAACCCAAAACCCTGAACGGTAGATCCTAAACCTTAAGCCTTAGACCTCTCTGCGTATAGTAAGTTGAACCCAAAACCCCGAACTATGAGGTTTCCACAAAGGATGGAAAAGCCTTGCTACGGCCGTTGCCAGCAAAGCACCCAGAGGCAGGCTTACAGCTCTCGGGGTGGCGCAGGGCTCTCCGGTTTAGGGTTCCTTCAAGGGAGTCATCATCCCTCAACCCTAAAACTCTTAACCCTTAACCATTATCCCTAAACCCTAAGCCCTGAACATAGGAGTGTCTTTGAGGGGTTCGGGCAAGGTCTTGGGTTTTAGGGCTTTTGGCTTAGTGTTTGGTGATTTCAGGGTTTTGGGGGTTTAGGGCTTTGGGCTTGGGGTTTAGGGTTTAGGGTGTGTCTTACTGCTTGGTGTTCTCATGGGGGTTGTCACCATTGATGCTCGCATTGTTGCAATGATGGCTGCTTTTCTAACTCCATGAGGTTCTTACCTAGGATGTTCGGCAGTATCGTTTTTTTAGCTTTTTTTGATATTGGTTCCTAACATAATATAACTAACCCGAAAAAGTATATACTTTTTCCCAGTTGGTTACTGAACAGCTTAGTTATTGGTGTTGTCAGTATTGATGTCGGATAGATCTGGGTGGCCCGAGATCCCTAACCCAAACCCCAAACCCTAAACCCTAGCCGAGGTTGAGGGTTAGGGTTTAAGGTTTAAAGTTTAGGGTTTAGGGATTTCAGAGCTAGGTTTCGGGATTTCTCTCCACTCCACGTTCTGGGTCTGACATCGTGCCCGGAAGCTGATTGGGGTTTAGGGTGTAGGGTTCAGGGTCTAGGGCCAGGGTTTAGGGCCTTAGGGTTTGCAGTGGCAGCGCGTCTAGTTTCCGTCAAAAGGCTTTGCGGTTGTGGCCTCAGGGTGTAAGGTACAGGCTATGGGATATACCGAAACCCTAAACCCTAAACCCTAAACCCTAAACCGCTATTATAGACCTTACAGGGTTTAAGGGTTTCGGGGTGGAAGGTCTCGGACCTTGGCTCGGACACCTCTAACCCCCGAAGCTACAGGTTTAGGGTTTAGGGTTTAGGGTTTAGGGTTGAGGGTTTAGGGTTTAGGGTTTAGGGTTTAGGGTTGAGGGTTTAGGGTTTAGGGTTGAGGGATCAGGGTTTAATTAGAGGTTAGGGTTGAGGGTTTAGGGTGAATCCAGCAAGCACCCTAAACCCAAATCACGTTTAGCAACTGTAAATGAATCCTGATCGTTTTCTTAAGCGAGCATGTGCGCACCACACACCGTAAACGGGTGGAAGCAATCCGCTCTCCTAAGAGGGCTCTTCAGGGTCTGTGTTTGGAGCATAGGGTCTTGCATATTCTTGCCCAAACCCAGTTTTTAGGACGGTCTTGCCCGTCCAATTTCCCATGTGGTTCCTTGGAAGGAGGCATATAGGGTTTAGGGTTTTAGGGTTTTAGAGTTTAGGGCTTTAGAGTTTTAGGGTTTGGTTTAGGGTTTAGGTGTTTAGGGTAGCGAACTTTGGAAACGTAAGTCTTACGGCTCTAATTCTCTCGAACCCGAGCCCGCAGATGCTAAGCTCCCAAAGGAGGCTCGGTTTAGGGTTTAGGGGTTTAGGGTTTAGGGTTTAGGGTTTAGGAAGCTTGTACAGGAAGCTTGTACACGCCTCACAACCTGGTCTGCAAGAACCCAAAGGCTTTCCAACAGCCCTATCGCGCTTTTTTGTTCCGAAGCAACCCAACGCCCCAGCTCTAAGTCCCAACACCCGACACATTCCTAACCTAATTCACCCCCAAGCACCCTGAACTCCAAGCCAGAAATCCCAAAACAACCCTACAGTCTGCACGCTTGATTACACAATTTAAAGGATCCCTCATAGCACCCCTGAGGGCAACCCTGGCACGATCCCGGAAAGGAACCTCAGTAGCCGTAGCCAGAAACCGCCTGGGGAAGCCCTAAACCCTAAACCCTAAACCCGAAACCCTAAACCCTGAACCCTAAACCCTAAACGCTCAACCCTAAACCCTCAACCCTAAACCCTTAACCCTAAACCCCCCAGAAGCCCAGCCTGGTTTTGTCAGGAGAGCCACCCCTCCGAGGTTTCGGTGCCAGGGGCGGAGGCCACTTCGCTTCACATGAATCTCCTTAACAGGGTTTAGGGTTCAGGGTTTAGGGCTTCACATGGGGTGCCGTAATGGTTTGGGGGCCCCAAGACGCACCCTAATTCAGAGAACTAGCCATGTTTGAAAGCAACAGTTCTGTTTCAACAGCAAAGTGATACCATAGTAAGTAGTAGTCGTGCGACAATCCGCAAAGCCAAGCATTGTGTGTTGGCGCCGAGTCGCATCCGCGCCGCCACTTGGCGGCAAGGGTTAAAAGCACGAAAGTGAAAGTGCCCATAACGATCCGTCCAACGGTGCTGTGTAAAATGATTGTTTTGAGGCGAATCGCGCCACTGCTGCGGCCCCGGAAGCCACGGAGATCATAGAAAGTGCCGTGGCAGCAAGATGTGGAATTAGACGACGATCAGGACGAGGATGAGGATGAGCTTGAATAGACGTTGATGAGTACTTCTCTTGGCGTGGTGCAGTCATGGTCTTTACTGTAACTGCCTTTCAGTTTGATTTAGTGTCTGTCGACATGGATGAAGGCTGCTCTGTCCTGTCCGGCATACGGGGTCATGGGTTAGAGGGTTTGGGCTTTCAGGGGTCCAGGGTTTAGGGGTTTAGGAGTTTCGGGGTTTACGAATCTTAGGACCAGCTCTTTCACTGAAGCCCTCAGCGCTGAAGCCTTGACGCCCTAAACCACAACTTAACCCCAAGCTCTTGCTGGTAATATAGGGGCCCTAATAATTACCTATACTGTATTACTATTTGGTTCTTTATAGCAATTTTTGTGCAATTTGCCCCCAAACCCTATTCTAATTATCAAGGCCCCTACATCAATTCGTAAGTCTAAAGTTCCCGGAACTCTGAGGCTTTACTTAAAACCCCTAAAACCTAAACCTTTAAACCCAAACCCTAAACCCTAAACCCTAAACCCTAAACCCTAAACCCTCAACCCTAAACCCTCAACCCTAAACCCTCAACCCTAAACCCTAAAACCCAAACCCTGAACCTGAAACCTGATGGGGGCTCAGTGGGATTTGTTCGGGGGTTTCATATCTTTAGTCTGTCATACTGGGGCCCTGGCATGTGGGCTCAGCCTGGTAAGGACTTCTAGC